CTGAAGAATCACATACTGTAACAAAAGTAGCCACTTGATATATCAAATTGGATTAGCCCAATTAAGAATTGTCAGTATTGCTCTAGTAATTTATTCTTTCAAGATTAAGTTTATTTCTTTCGTATTATATATATCTATGTTTCTGTGAATACTGTGGGTTCTTATATGATTCTCAATTTTCACTGAATGATGTATTGGATTAAATAGGTTGAACCAGATGAAGTGAATGCTTTAGCACAACTAATGACATGGAAGACAGCAGTGGCAAATATACCATATGGGGGTGCCAAAGGAGGGATAGGTTGTGACCCATCAAAGTTAAGTGTGTCTGAGCAAGAAAGACTCACTAGAGTTTTTACTCAGAAAATTCATGATGTCATTGGAATTCAGACAGATGTGCCCGCACCTGATATGGGAACTGGACCACAGGTCAGTACTAAAATTAGGTTATAAATATTTATCATAATAATTTATCAATATTTATATATGATTATGTATTGTTTCTATTTCTATTTTTTTATCTATTATATACTCCATTTGTTAATATTAATTGTTTGTTGTTACCATTAATCAAATAAACTGGACCATTTCTATATCAATCACCAATCAAAGATTTTCATTATGTCTCCTCTAAAATCGTTCTATTATGTCCGGTATTCCGTCGAGATAAACGCTATAGGGCTACAGTAGAGAATTCTCCTTTTTCTGTTATACAGTACTTGTTGAGGATTATGCTGATGCATAAATGATTATATCATATGGTTTTTTCACATTGGACTTAAAAATGTACTAATTAAATTTTGAACATAAAAGTCACTACTATCTCACAAATTGGTTGTGAATGCAGACTATGGCATGGATGCTAGATGAGTATTCCAAATTTCACGGGCACTCTCCTGCAATAGTAACCGGGAAACCTATAGTAAGTAAAATAAGTTGTTTGTGTTGTGTTTGTCATTTTTAATAAACAAATTCCCCATTTCTAATTTTTATTTTATTTTATTTTGATACAAGGATCTTGGTGGATCTCTAGGCAGAGATGCAGCCACAGGACGAGGAGTGCTCTTTGCCACTGAGGCTTTGCTTAATGACCATGGCAAGAGTGTATCCGGTCAACGGTTCGTCATACAGGTATTTCTTGTTTTATATTAATCCAATTGATCGATCACTTAGCTAGTGAAAATAGCACTCATTTATATGTTATTGTCTAGTTATTGTAGAGGGTTTAGTATATATTTTGATGAATTTGAGATAAAATCATGTTATCATGTTTTATATCTCTTCAGGGTTTTGGAAATGTGGGGTCTTGGGCTGCCCAATTAATAAATGAAAATGGTGGGAAAATTGTTGCTGTGAGTGACGTAACTGGAGCCATAAAGAATAGCAATGGTCTTGACATCCCAAGCCTACTAAAGCATTCCACAGAGCACCGTGGAGTAAAAGGATTCAGTGGTGGTGACCCAATTGAACCTAATGCAATATTAGTTGAAGACTGCGATGTTCTTGTCCCAGCAGCTCTTGGGGGAGTCATCAATAGGTTCTTTTACTTACTCTTGTCAAACAAACCACTGTATTATCATGCATCACACCTTATATAGCTTCAAACAAAGCAAGCATTAATTAAACTGTACCAAACAAATTTTTTTTTTTTTTCTTTAGTACTTTTATAGCCAATTGTTTATTGCATAGATTAATTTATTGCCTCCTCTCCTTTAAGTATATATCCTGGAGAAATTATATTCCAAAGGAGCACTATGATAAACATAAGTCTAAACCTTTTATTTTTTTCACTTTACTTCCCCTAACTTTTGCTGTGGTTGAAGGGAAAATGCAAATGAGATTAAAGCCAAATTTATTATTGAAGCAGCCAATCACCCAACTGACCCGGAGGCTGATGAGGTTAGTTTGTATTCTCTCTTTTTCTTCCCTATGTCAAAAAATAAGAAGAAATGCATTGTTTTTAATTAACCACCACCCTACTTTTCAGATTCTGAAAAAGAAAGGGGTTGTGATCCTCCCAGATATATTAGCAAATTCAGGAGGAGTTACAGTTAGCTACTTTGAGTGGGTGCAGGTAACTATTTTTGATAATTAACTAACTGTATGGTTTTACATGGATACATTACTCTGGTAATGGTTCTCTATATATATATACATATATTATATGTGAAAGTGGAAGTTTTGCAATTCAGTTAACCCGCTTCATGTATAGCCATTTTAACGTCAAAGGATGATTTTTAATACGCAGAACATACAAGGATTCATGTGGGATGAGGAAAAGGTGAACAGAGAACTAAAGAGATACATGACCAAAGGTTTCAAAGATGTGAAGGACATGTGCAGAACCCATGATTGTGATCTTCGTATGGGAGCCTTCACCCTTGCTGTTAACCGTGTGGTGAGGGCCACTGTCCTTAGGGGTTGGGAAGCTTGACACAGTAATATTGCTACTTCTTTGAATAATAGCTCCAGATATTTATTTATTTTTATTAAACTTAATTTCTATTTAATATTTTTTTCTGTTTTTATTTGGTTGTCTTTTTCTAATTGTATCAGCTCTTTATATTAATGTTCCGAGAGACCAAAATTTTACCACTAGGATTGGTATAGTCGTAAGCTATGTAGCACCGATACTGACACGGGACACGTGACACGATACGACACGACATTCCGACACGTTAATTTTAAAAAATGTTAGATTTCGACACGTTAGGACACGTTTTGATATTAAATAATATTTTTAATTTATGTACTGTATATTATATTTAATATTCAACAATTTAACAAAAAAATGAAACTAAACTTACAATATTCATCAATTTTGCAAAGAAACATAAGATATCTTCAATATTTATAATAAATTCAATAAAATGATAATCGTAATCCAACGAATCTAATAGTTGAAACTAAAAACTCAACGTAACGCAACCTTTGAACTTTTTTTTTGAATTTCTATAACGCGTGTTGGAGTGTCGGGAAGTGTCGGAGTGTCGGAGAGTTTCGGGAAGTGTCGGACACGACACATCAGGGTTTTTGAAGTGTCGGTGCTTCATAGGTCGTAAGAGATTTGAATAATCTGCATGGTGCTACCATAATTATTTTTTTAAATTAATTTCTTCTTGATATGTTTTTTTCTTTTTTTATTTAGATAGTATTTTTCTCACTTGTATCGGCTATTTATATAGAGGGTTATGTTTATCTCATTTTACATGAGATAAACAACTCTCTTACACATACAAAAAGAGGTTGGGTCCCACCATTTTTTTTCTCTCTCCTCTTACCTGTGGGTCCCATTTATACTTTTATTTCTATAACATGAGTTAATTTTTTTCCTGCAACAAAAGAAATATATATATATATATATATCCCTTGTATTAATATTCCAAGAGCCCAAAACTTTGGCCACTTAAATCCTCTCTTTTTATCCAAAGAAAAAAATAAATTATTAAATTATTGTTAATATTTAATAACCATAAATTTGACTTCCAATGAGAGATAAGAGTAGGAGAGGGAGTTACTCCCGTCTCCAATACGTGTCAGACACATGTCCAACGCGGACACGCTCCGACATGTTCCGACACGCGTCCGACATGCAGTCAACTTTTCTCGCCACGTGATCAACGCTCTGACACGTTTTTTTTAGTCTTAATTTTATTTTATTCATAAAAAAAAATCTTTTATAAATCAATTTTTTTCTGTTATAAAATTTGACATGAAAAATTAACAAGGTACGAAAAAATATTTTTGTTTATACTTATATGACATATTATGGACTGTTATATGTATTAAATATAAATTATATTATATATATTAAAAATATTATTTAATATCAAAACGTATCCCAACGTGTCAAAATATGTCATTTTTTAGAATTAACATGTCGACGTGTCGTGTCCTGTATCGGTGCATCATAGACTCCTGTAAGTGGAGAAATAATGTCCACACAGAAATATAATAATAGAATTTAAAAATATATAATTTTTTTTTAACTTTTATCAAATCATATCCCAAGTTACATCCAGATTCGAAACTATGGCCGAATTCCCTATATATAGCTGGATTCGTTGGAAGCTTATAGCCTCTGAATGGTTTTCAAAAATAAAATCTTTCTTCTTTAGATATTGAAGAGATTTAGAATATTTATTTAATTATTTCTTTTATTAATACAGATTTTTCAGATTAATTTTTTAGTTTAAATTATAAATCAAATCTTTATTTTCTTTTTCTTTTTTTTATTAATAATTTTTTTAAATTTATTTAATTTAAATCACAAATCAAATCTTTATTTCATTTTTTTTATATTATAAATCTTGATTTAATTTTTATATCATATGACATATGTATCATATCGTATCGTATGATATAATATTGTATCGTTCAATACAAATTTCTTTATGATACACTCCACACTACGTATCGCTGAGCTTATGAATCGTATTGTGTAACGTACAATACTGTTAACCATGATAAAAAGTAAATAAACAAGAGAATATGTAATCAAGAAAGAAAATTTCCCAAGACCTAAGGTTTTCATATATGCTCATAATAATTTCCTTTTTTCCTCCGAAACTTCATTCTTTAAATTCTTCTGTTTAGGTTTTTTTTTTTGTTTTTTGTTTTAGTTGGGGAGAGTAGCGCGGCCCTCTAGCCTAATCTGCATATATGTTGGGCGGCCCAACAATTTATCAGGCCACACAAGCAAAGCCCATTTTGGCAGGCCTACAGGCATGGTTAATACAACTGGCTTCTGGTCCTGCTGCCACTTCAATGTTTATAAGGAAGGCGTTAAACCCGTTTTCCAATGAACATGAGAAAAATGCAGATTTACAACATTAGTTTCGAGTAGCACAATAGGTATTGATTTTCCTCAAGGAGATAATTTTCTGCTTGTGAAGTCATGTAAAGAGAAAAAAGAGGAAAAAAATTATATATATACATAATAAACTTTTATATATGTATAAGAAATAAAATTATTTTATGTAACATAACACTAATCCCACCACAATAACACAAATTCCACGAAACCATGCCTATGCCAGATACTATAAATGCTAATTGCACTGCAGCTCCCCCTTTTCCAACAGAGGTGAACAAGAAAACTACGACTCATTCTAATAATTCAATACAAGTAACCGGAACAAACATAAATGATAAATCATGTGTAATATTGAATACGTTCGTATTCACGTCATCTCTTGTATAATTGATACAATGACTAAATCATATGCTGGGGCTACAAACCAAGAATGCTTTTGAGTATTATCTAATATATTTGCTAATGTAAACCAACTACCTTTTTTTCTTGGGTATATATATATATATATATCGGCCATTCTTCTACTTGACTACTAAGTTCTAACATTCTCAGAAGAGGTGATCGTAGAAAACCCACTTATAAAACCTCTTAATCACACTGAAAGTGAAAACATCACTCGTATAACAAAAGATGCTACTAGAATCCACCACTGACATATTATGTGAGAACCAGATGAATTTGAGCCTTTATCTGTAACGCCCACAAGAAAATGGCAGTTACCAACCGAAGGGTCTCGGAAAGTAACCATACCAAGACCATCAAAATTGCAGCTTCGTGAGTCTTGCATTTGTAGCTGATAGTAACTGTTAAAAGCATATGAGATATTACCCTTCTCCCCAATCCCATTACATGAACCTCCGTAGTCAAGTGTGGTGCAATCTGCAACACTACAGGCAATTCTCATATGGTTTGCTACATTACTCAAATCACTGGATGGGCTTGCTACACACCATCTAGACGGAAGATACTGAACATTCTTGGCATTCTTCAATTCCTTGTTTCCAAGGCCAAGGTTTAATGGATATTTAGCTTGCCCATCAAAAGAAAATATACCCCAATGTCTTTCAAAACCTCCTGGAAGTATGCTCTTTGATCCTTCATCAAGCACACTGAAGACATAAATATCCATAGGAGGAGCACCGGGCCTCAAGGGGGTCCCTTTGTTACTCAGAACATGATTGATGAGACCTTGATTGAAAACCCTTGCTGCACTGATATTTGCACCAATGGCTCCATCAGAAGGCCAACCAATTTCACCAATAGCTATAGGCATCTGACCATATCCAAGTTTACTGAGAGCTGCAACTAATGTGTCGTAGTTTCCATCAAATGCATTGGTATAAACATTGGTACCATCTGTGACAGGATGAGTAGTTCCCTCAAAGAAAGCATAGTCTTGTGGGAAATCATTGTTGTCATAGAGGCTGAGGAATGGGTAGATATTAACAATAAATGGGGCACCATTTGAGTTGAGGAACTGAACCAGCTGAGTCATAATTTGGGTCAGTTCAGGTCGGAATGCCCCCTGGGAAGGCAGTGAAGACTCATAAGCATCTGCATTGCACGGGACAACTAGTTTTACAGAACCAGCAAGATTTGCTTTCACTAAAGACTTCTGCAGATTGAGTACCGCAGGCATAACCATGTTCTGAAATTGACCATTGTAACTCGTAAGGAATGGCTCATTTCCAACAGCAACATACCTGTAATAAAAAGGTCAAAGCTTTGAAATCAATATGTTCTAGATACTTTAAAAAACCTATCTGTCAGTCAGTCTCCAAATGCAGAGACTTCAAATTGGGACAAAATAACTTCACTCTAACTCAATAAATATCATTATTCTTGGGACAAATACTTCAAACTAAAGTAGTCTTCTCCTTAGCATCAATGCAAAGAGTAAACTCTAGAACATTCAATAAATATTAAAAACTTAAAATAATTTCTATTTGATATAATACCATGGTAGACAGATTTATTGAATTGTTCATAAATAACTCTAATTAAACAAAAATTTGCAAATTAGCTTTCGATCACCGATATTTTTTTTTACTGAACGATTCATCCTCAGATCGACCAAATATTCAAATATTTCTTTCAAATCTACCTTAAAAAAATATGTATAATAGATGAGCTAATGATTTTGCAGATTTTAAATAACTGATTCAGCGCCCATGCCAACGTTTGAACAGCTTGTGTTTGCTGGGACAACCACGTGTATACAAAGCATAGAGAAGAATTGGATACATCATAAAATCTCCAAAGATTATCACTTTAGTAAACAGTTTGCCAAATGAAATTCCAATGGAAAGCACCACCGGGGATGGTAGCAAAAGAGACCCAAAAAAGTTTTTTTTGTGTGTGTGTGTGTGTGTTTTTTTTTGTCTTTTCTTCGACAAATGAAAGAAAATTAAAAATATAAGGTCGAATATAATAAAGTAAGGAATTGATATTTAATGCAATGACTATTTGGCTGTAAAAGAGTTTTATTAGACAGAAAGCTTTCTTCCATGTTGGTGATTTTGAAAGAGAAAGGAGGAGTTAGAAGCATAGTGAGAATGAATATTGAATAAACAAGGAAACCTGATGTCAGCGCCACCTTTGCCCATGTAAGTAGAAACATTCTGGCGAACCCACAAATCAGCAGCATCTGGGGAGAAGCTCAAGAGGGACAACATCTCATTGGGTATCCCAACCATGACCTGAATCCCACTCCCCATGAGAGCCTTAAGGACATCAGGCTCTGCCTCAAAAAGCTTCGCTTTTGGGATCTTGTTATCTCTCAAGAGATCAACCACCGTTGAAGGCTTCAACTTGTGGAAAGAAACCGTGCCCCAGTTGACCCCTATTGCTGATTCTGCCCAGCTCCAACCCAACATCCACATGTATATAGCCGCAGCAGCAGCAGCAGCGAACCTGGGCTCCAACATTCTGCCACCGTTGATCCTCCTCCTCCTCCTCCTCCTCCTCCTCTGTTAACAAAATCAAACAATTTACCCACTCATCAGTTTCAGATAAGAGGCTCAGAATGCAGGGTTGGCACTGGCACACACTGTGACTGTGACTGTGACTGTGTCACGCTACAAATGTAAATGCTAAGTATCAGTAAAGCAAATGAAGGAGGAGTTTGTTTCAGAGCTCAAACATTCTTATGAAGCGGGATTTCTCGGAATTACCAAACTGCCCTGCTTATTTCTTTATGTCGGCATCAACAGATATTCAACTTAGGACAATACCAATTTGGTTTACGTTAATATGTTCAGATTTTTATTGCTATTTTCTGCATGAAAGGTTCGATAGCCACCTGTCTTCAGTATTTCTTAAAAGTTCAATTGTTGATAAGAAACCATATCATTTGTGTGATGAGTTTTTCTTGTCAGTCAATGTTACGTAAGAGGTTATCGATTTGGATAAGTAATACCTCTACATCTTTCCGTTGTTACTATTCTCAGATAAATCATTAATTTCTGTGGTGTGAGAGACTCCTTTAATTTAAAGGGTGGTTGTTTAAGATGATCTAATCGAAATTTGGAATGCTTTGGTGGTCTATTCTTTCAGGATAAAAACAGAGACATTTAAATGATTATTTTCAACATTATAATGAGTACGGCAGCGGATGAAATTAAGATCGTTCACTTGGAAATAGAGCGAGCCCTTCGATTTGGATTTCATTATAGAATCAGATACAGAGAAGGTTGTAATTGTAATTCCAGGAAAGAGGAAAGAGAAAAGTGAGGGAAATTGTGTGATGTGTACAATGTTATTTGTCGTTTCGGGATGAGAGGGAGACAGAAAGAGGCGAAGTGATGGCTACTTTATTTACTAACCGACTATAACGTGGCACTCCGAGGTGGTCACGGTTAGGAGTGATAACGGGGTGAGTACAATTTTGATTTTAAAAGATTAAATTTGTATTTAAATGTGTCTGACTAAGCCTGTTATTTGTTATGAATATAATTATTGGCCCGTTGTCTGACTTATTTACAAAAAATAAAATCCTGATTTAGATTGTTAGCCTATTTAAAAAAATAAAACAATAAAAATTTATGCAAACAAAATATATAATCAACGGGACTAATAATTCTATAAATATTCATAAATTCAATGTATATCCAAACAACGTAATATAAAACAAAACCATTCAAAAATTCTGTTTAACTATTAAAATAGGATGAAATGGATTGAGGAGAGAGAGAGCTATTGCATGTATATAAAAAATAAAAATAAAAATTAATATATTAGGTCTGCCTCAAAGGCTCTAAGGCCGAGCTTTTGAATTAAAGCCTGATATCTTTTTATTAAACGAGCTTTTATACAAATCCAAGCCTGGTTCTAACAACTAATTTTGAGCTTAGCCTTCACGAGCAGAGCCAAAGACCTCTGAAAGGACTCTGGTTCGTTTATCACCCCTAATCACGGTTGCTCACCTCACCTCAATGTATGTAGGACTCTAAATCTTAATTTTTTATATATTATAAATAAAAAAGTTATTTAAAGAAATAATATTTTTGTGTGTTTTATTATTTTTTATAGTCTTCTTGAATTGAAAAATAAGAGAAAATTAACTTTTGTTCACCTTATGTATTGTATATTTGTTGTTGTTTTATTTTTTATGAAATTAAATAAAGATAGGAAATACTTAGTCTTTTATTGGATTAGATAACACTAGGGGTGAAAGTGGGTTGGGCCGGGCCGAGCTTTGTCCCGAAAAGCCCAAGTCTACGTCAACAAATTTCAATTTAGCCCGGCCCAAGCCTAGTATGAGTCTAACTATTAGCCTGGTTTGGCCCGTTTATGAAAAAAAAAATGGCATGGCTTGACCCGTTAGCCTGTTAATTTTTAACTTTCAAACAGAACCATGAATCAACTTTACAAAGTACTCAAATTTCTTGCTACACCAAAAATCATAATTTCAACGTCCAATCAGAATCATGAATCATAACAAAACTAATACAATATGCATTTAAGTCATTTTCAAAAGCAAAATGCTCAAATTAAATAACATATATTTCATCAGATCCAACAAACAAATCCATACTATGTAAATTAAAATAAGTACATGAATCCAACAAATATATCATGATGTTTGTAGTGAGTATAACCTCTGCCAAATTTTTTTTGATATATTCATATACATAATCTAACATGTTGAGATGTTGGTTCCTCCTATATAAGAAATAAAGTAAGATTTCTATTAAAATATAATCGAATATGATTAAGTTATAAATAATTGCAATTGATTAAATATTTTTTTTTCTTCAAGGCATACTTACTCTATTTTATTTTATTTTATTTAAAATAAATAGTACAATATAGACCGGCCTGTAGACTTATAGGCTCGACCTTTTGAAAGTGGGCCTGCGACCTTTTTATTAAACATGCTTTTTAAAGGCCCGAGCCCGGCCTATTATACAAAATATATTAAGTCAGATCTATCCTCATGTAGGCCGAGCCGTAGGCCCCTGTAAGCTGGTCCGACCCAGTTTCACCCCTAGATAACACCATACAAAAAACGTATCCCTTCAATTTTTTTCTTGTTTATTATTTTCCCTTTTATAATATCAAACTGATAATTTATTATCATTTAGTTAATCATAATTATTATATGGTATTGATATTTTTCACCAAATAGAAGATAAAATCATTTCCTATAACTAAAAAATAACATTATTTTAGAGTTTAGGAAAAAAATTATTTTAATAAAATTTATGATATAAGAAAAAAATATAATTTCTAAAATACACTATATTTTTTTTAATCAAAAACAATATCATTTTGGTCTCTATTGGAAATAACTTTTTTCCTCATATTACCCATTCTATTCTTTTTTATTATATACTCCCTTTTTTTTCTAATATTAAAAAAGGCTATTTGATGTTGACATTTTGTTAATCATTATTCTATACATAAGATATATTTTTCTTATGTTGTAGGAAAAAAATTATCTCATGTTGTAGAAATAAAAATATAAGTGAGACCCACAGGTAAGAAGAAAAAAAAAAAGAGTGGTAGGACCCAACTTCTTTTTGTGTGTGTAGGAGAATTATTTATCTCATATAAAATGAGATAAAGATAACCTTATATACATATACCATTTTTGGTTATTATTGTTATTTTCCCTTCATGTATTAAGCATGACTTTCTTTCACATATACCACCCGATGACTTCGCTTTATGTAGCTTACCTTTAGCAGGCTCAAAATGTGCAATTTTAGAAGGGTTTATTGTTTTTATACTTTTATCGAAGAAAAATTTTCTATCACACTAATATAAAAATGAGTGGGTTTCATATAAAGAAAAATCTGTGGGATTCACTTATTTGGCAAAAAAAAATTTGCTGTAAAAATAAAAACATACCCTTCCTCCTATTATATAATAGCATGGCATGCTAGCCTTAACTCTTTTTTTCTCCTATTTTATATTAATTAACATAATCATATTATATATGAGAATCCTAAGTATATAAAAGTAAATCAAAGATAATAATTTTATAATTATCTATTTCAATATTTTTTTACTATCATTAATTTATTTTTATTTGATTATGATTCTCTCATATAATATGATGATGTTAACTAACATATGAAAGGATTCAAAAAAAATAAAATAAAAAGACTTAAGTATCACAAAGTAAGTATTCCCTAAATCTTTTACGATAATGAATATAATTTATCAGATGAAGGGCCAATAAATAAAGAGAAAAACTAACATTATGTTACTGTAAATTCTTATTTCCTCCTACTCTCATATTGTTTTTCGTGCAAGCTTTTTTCTTCATATTTTTCTTCTAATATTTGGCGGGCCCTACAAAAATATGTTTATGTAACATGATGTATTAATTTTTCTGTTACATAACATTCACAAAACCCATAAATAAATATTACTAATTCGTTTTTAGGACTGAATCTTTTTATTCATCACTGAAATTTAATTATCAAACAACTCTGACATATTAAAAAAAAAAACTATGTATTAATTTAGTACAAAGTGTAAAAAGGTCCAAGGTTATGTTGAATCTTTCAAGCTTTTATCTCATAGCAAGGTTCTTTTTGCAAGTTCCTGACAACATCAAGGAACTATACCTTTCTATCTCCAGTAATAGGAGCTTGCTTTATTCAGCTTATTCTGCATCGCTTTTTTCCTAGATATCGTGCTACAATGATTTTTGCGAGTGACCCAAACCAATGCTGTCCCCAAAAATAGGCCAAAACTAAAATGTTTTTGTAACATTAACTTTATTTTGTTTTTATGATTTGCTTTCGGATAATATTTTTAAATTTTTAAATAGTAAGTGTTAAATTTTAATATGCAAATAATTTTTTATTTAAATTTTTTCGAATACATTAACTTCTTTTTTCAAATAAAATAACTCTAACGTCAAAAAAAAATTCTTCTAAAAAAAACCATGCATAAAAAATCCTTTCTAAACGAGTTCAAAAATGCCGTAATAATTTTTCTTAAAATTAAAATGCTGTTATAACGTAAAAAAATAAGTTTTATAAAGATTAGTCGCAGAGAATATTTCCGTCCATATCTTAAATGCTGATTTCCTGTCTTTGCTTTTATTTCTTAATCTCTATCTTCCTGTAGTATCATAGGAGAGTCTATCTTCCCATAAACTGTTTACAGAATTATATTTGACTGGAAATCTTAATCGAATTGTGAAGGGAAAAAGTTTTTCAGAACCACCCCCGATACCAATATTCTATATTTCTATTACTATGATTGCAAATGCTTTGATTTTCTTGTATAGTGACTGCGTAGTCCACAAGCCCTTCAACAGGAATTCTATATTTTTCTTTTTATATTCCCTTATGCCACCAGATTTTTCGTAGTATATTAATATTGAGGGAAAATGGTAGAGGCATAACCAGATTGCCCTCCCTACACCTGGCGGTGGTTCAATGCTCCTTTTTGTGTATTCTTTTGGCCGACAAACACAGAAAGTCAAAAAGTATTTGCTAGTGCACTAGTTCTTTAATAAAATAAGCATGTCAAAGCAAAATCATCAGAAAATTTTCATACAGCGAATACTATCCGTGATTCTACATTTATATACATCTTAATCCTTATCTTCTCTGCCTTCAGTTTTCTTACCACTTTGAAGGAATCAAACATCAATTGGGCATTTGGGCTCATTTGGCATAGAATATCGAAAGCTTATTTAAAACTCACTGTTGAGTAAGCTGTCTGCCACTGCAAAAGAAAGGGAAGAGAGGCCGAAAAGCAGTAGTTGATCAATAACATGCTTTGACACACTCTTTTTAATACACTTTTATTATTAAGTAAATTTTAAATAGGTCTCATTAAATAAAAAATGATTTCACCCAATAATACAAAGTGTATTAGGAATAGTGTGTCAAAAAATAAATATTGTTAGTATTTCTCGTACTTGCATATATATGTGCTTATCACTTACGGACACCAACATTATACATTCGACTATGCAATTTAGAAAACTAATTTTTTTTTTAAATTTATCCAGGTGAACCATTACCTGCTAATTAATCATAACAAAAGAATCTATATGGTGAGCATAACCTCCAAGGCAACTGGTTTTGTAATAAGTGGGCAAAAGTACCGTATTAAGAACATTTAGTGAAAGATTTTCCTTAAAGTACATTTGATAAGTATTGCCGGACTAATGCAGCTAAAAACATCAAAGAGAATTACAGGACCACTACTGTAGGGTATTGTTATGGGACCACTTAAACATTGACCGGATCAGTTTCGTTAGGAACTCTTATAAAACTAGTCGCATTATAAATATTGACGATCCACATTAACTCATGCATACAAAACTAGTTCCGTCAAACAGATTGACAGCACTCCCACTCACTGTTATGTGATTTTTCCTTTGTCTCTTTTCTATGTATAACCTTCGGTGTACTTGGATAAAGAACTCTTGTACTACAAATGTACCAAATCGCAAGCACCACGACATATTACTAATTATATCAACATGTTATGATACTTTGTATGCTGTAAGCCACCATGGGTTATGTAACTAAGAATCATCCGCGATCCAAAGGACAAAAGGCTCAAGCTGAAATGATTATTAGAAGTATATTTTGGGAAAAACCACAAAGAGAAAAAAATATTATTTGAAATGGCAATGGAAAAGGAAATATTGGATTTATTTGGGTTTTCCTTATCTCTAAAAGCTTCTTTTTTAAAATTTATCCCTGTTAAAAACATTTGCATGTTTGTAAACTTTGCTTTTAAAGGCTAAACCTCTGTAATTTTTCTCACCTTTCCGTCTTTGGAATCAACTTTATTAGCATTAGAAACAAGCATCCTAGGACTTGCTTATGCTCTTTAGTCCCCACGATTAAATTTATTTAGTGGTTCAATCATACATCTAATTGGAAAGAAAAACTTTGTCTATTATAACAATCTTAATTCATACATTTATACGTTTTGTATTCAGACTATTTTAATTGCCTCACTTTTTTATGACTAAACTTGAAACTTACAGTGGGATATAATTATGAATGTGGGACCAAGAATTCTTAATGCTGGGCACATAACTTCTATTATGTATGACCATCCTCAATTCTAAAGTCAGCTCACTTCTCTTATCTACATTCGCGGAAGATCATACATAGAAAAGGGGCAAAGGAAAAATCACATAATAGTGAGTGGGAGTGCCGTTAATTTGTTTGATAGGACTAGTTTTTTGTAAGAAATTTTAAAGGGACTGATCTCGCCAATGTCTCTGATGGGACTGGCATGCATGAGCTGAAATAGAGTAGGAGTGTAGTCAATGTTTCTTGAGGAGACTAATGTTGTAAGAGTTCCTAACGAGACTGATCACGTCAGTGTCTCTGATACTCTGATAGGACTAGGTAGCTCCTCCTATGGGACTGGTTCCGTAATTTCCTTGAATGTCTTTGACTATATTATCCAGCATTATTTATCAAATGTACTTTTAGTAGAAAAATCTCAAAAAACATTCTTAGTACGGTGGTTTTGGCGAGGATCAATGGTTTGTAATAATAAATTTGGACCCACTTGGTCCAATCCAAGGAATGCTACTCCCTACTCGCTAAATACTCCTTAGAGCCCAAATGCCAACACTCACAAACCTTTCCAAATTAGTGTTATTTCAAACTGTACTTTCCCCTCCTACTCTCCCTATATACAAAAGAGAAAGAGACCAAACTGTAGTTCAATGGCTTGCATCAGAGTCCATGAAGAGTTTCTGAGGATAAGGTATTATTTTTCTGCTGTAATTTGCAAAATAGGAACTTGTTCGGGCCTTCTCATATTCTGACTATATTGTCTTCCACGTCTACGTGAATGCTGTTCCACCCACCTCAAATAAAAGTGCTAAGAAAACACAAGTTGAACTTTAGTTTAAGGAAGTTGATCTTTTGATATTTTACAAAATATGTATAATTGACACAAATTTGTACATCGTCCGTCTTTTACCAAGACTCTTCAGCCAGTACAAGCATTAGGCCATAACCCAGTGACATCATGAGAACATGAGAGTAACCAATGAATAGGATCTCCCTTCAGAGTTTTATTTCCAAGAAGGCTCTGAAAACTTTGATGCTTGAAAAGTCTAGATCCTTGCAAAATCAGGCTGGTTGGTAACAGATCTCACCCATGACCATTTATGATCTTTTGTATTAACAGGGTTCTTTGCACGTGCTACATCTTCCAATGGAATGTATGCATAGTTTCCATTAATAGGACCAGCAACAAATCCAGCATACCCTGCCATAATACCGTGAATTGCAGAGTGTGCTAGGAGTGTACAATACAAGTTGTCAGTAGCATTTGCATGGACTGCACGAATCATGTACGTAGGATCTATGTATTTCACCGTAAATAACTCATCCGGGTGGTCCCTGGCCCACCACCTTTTTAGCTCTGACTTCAACCACACACCAACATCTAAGAAGACTGGGTTACCAGATTCATCCCGATCTTCCTTCTGTGAATCACTTCTGGGTATTAAATCCTGGCCAGCACCCTCAGCAACTACAAGCACTGCATGTCCATTTTCTCGAAGTCGTTGGTCAAGAAATTCAAAGAGCCCTCCTTTTCCTTCCAAGTAAAAATCTATTTCGGGAATTAGGCAGCAGTCAACATCACGGCTGCTGAGTGTTGCATACAGAGCAATGTGACCCGTACTTCGACCCATCAACTTCACCAGACCTACACCGTTAACTGCACTCTCAGCCTCCACATGTGCAGCACCGATTGCTTGCTGAGCCATTTCAACTGCTGTTTCGAATCCAAATGATCTGTCAATTATCCCCACGTCATTATCCACGGTTTTAGGAATTCCAACTACTGCGACATTCAGTTTGCGACGTCGGATTTCATCAAATATCTTCACAGCCCCTCGCATGGTCCCATCTCCACCTATGATGTACACCTGTTAATGACCCCAATTAGTTTCTTTAATGAAAAAGAGATGCTATCTACATTAATTTACCTAAGCAACAGTTAAAAGTCAACAAAACACAGGGATAATTAATAAGCAATTCCAGTCCAGAATAATAATAATAATAATAATAATAATAATCTAAATCTTCAATCAAATGTCAAGAAAATCAAGGAGAAATTCAAAAAAAAAAAACAAGATTTCTTCAACTAATAGATTTCCAGTTTTCAACTGTATAATGGTCATCTCATAATCTAGATTACATTACACCTAATTTAACGATCACAGTTTGCTTATAGCCCTTTTAACAAAATTGAATCGAAATATATATATGATTGAAGCCAGAGAGAGAGAGAAGAAACCTGATTGAAGCGGCGAATTTGGATAGCATCGACGATCTTATGGAGATCAAAACCACCTCTGGAAGTGTGAAGAAGGGTGCCACCCTTGTTGTGCCAGTCTCGAACAAGGTTAGGGTTGAGTGGGATGGGTTCGGTTGAGTAAAACCCCCTGTACCCGCATGTGACGCCCAAAATCTCACGGACCCGATAGAGGTCCCACAAACCAACCACAAGCTCCCTGATAACGGTGTTAAGGCCAGGGCACAGACCCCCACACGTGACAATGGCAACGCGAGCATCGCAAGGCTCAAAGTACACGAGTTTGCGTGGACCAGCACGGTGGTAAGCGAACCGGGGGGAGGGAGAGAGGTCGAGGTCGAGGTCAAGGTCGTTGGCGATTTGGCTGAGTACGACGTCGGATTGCGTCAAGTAGAAGCCTTCAACTCGGGAGGTGTCAAAGTACGGGTTCTGATCCAATGGGTTGGGCCGAGTTTGGAGGTTTGGGACATACTGTGTAAGGTGTGGCACTTCCTTCAGCTTTATGGGTTTGAACAAGTTGGTTATGTCAGAACTGCTGGAAGAAACATCCATGGCTATGGCTATGGCTATGGCTAGCGTACACACACCGGGACTCAAAAGAGCCAAGGCAAGGAGTGTTTGTATTTGAAAGATGAAGCGCATAATATGTGGCGCTTGCTGGGTTCGACACGCACATTGTTTATATATTTTGTGCACACGTATACACACGATATTAGTTATTTAACAATGTTATTGGCATTATTTATTTTTATATGTATATATGTCGAGCATTCTATTCTTTATGTGCAAATTTATATAAATTTAAATGACTCTTTATATTTGTTATTCTTATTAATATATTCCATTTTATCTATCAGCTAAGCTACGAAGTTTTCCCTTTTCAATATGCTTTTCAACTATTTTTTATTTACAAACTAACAGATATCTAATCCACAAAAACAGAGAATGTATGTGTATGCCTTCATGTTTGCTGAGCGAGTTGCAGGTGGTCTCACGGCCAAGAACTATTTTTTTTAAGGAGCACGGCCTTCCCTTTTGTTCTGGACCATTCCATGGATGGCCAATATCTTAACAATATAATAACAAGTGACAGACTTGAAGTATTTCCCATACAATTGGTTCTTTTTCGGAATTTTACTCTTCGCAACTATTGATTTATTAACAGCAAGTAGATCTACGCCGGGAGAATTAGTAATCTGTCAGGAGAAATGTGTAAAAGATAAGTTATAAGGATTATCTCTCATCATCTTGTTATTTGTCAGGCGGGTTCACTGGACGTACATGGCGGGAGGACCACCGTTATCATCATGTTCTAATGGCTTCTCCTAGATTCACTTTAAGAGTGGTATCATAGTCGGGTTGGCTCGGAGTTAGGTGTTTGGCTAGGAGGCGGCTTGAGTCGCTTGAAGGGAGTCATTACCAATGGGTTAAGCAACACAAATCGTAATAAGTGGATTTGACACAATGTCTCAACCCAAAAATTTTATAGCATTATATTCATGGATCCTTTTATTTATATTTACTTCACTTAAAATCTATTATCAACCAAAGTGAGACTCATCACACTTAAATAATCCAACATTATCAAGGGATAAAAGATAAACTACTTATCATATCTTTCAACAATCAAGATCCTATCAGAACTCTATATTTTCAGGTAATCCCTTCTATGAATAAAAGGGTAAGTCTCTCGAGTATATATTTTGAATTCCTTACACTTTTGACTTTTATTACGCACACATATCACATCTTTGATTATATGCTAGTATTATGATTGTACACAGTGATTCGTTATTTCTTATTATGTCTCTTCCATAAACTCCGGCAAGCGTTTCAATCCAAGATACAAATATCAACAATAATTGGGAGATACCCCGTGATCGACACCTTTCACTTTTTTATTTGCGTGTAGTTGATTAGAGAAGTCAAGTCAAATCCAAATAATAAGATTACGAAAATGTCCAAACTAAAGATAATTAGCATAAACTTCCTCTGCAAGTATATTCAAATTTGGCTAGAAGTCTAGAACTGTGTTTCAGTGTGCTCGTAGGGTAATCATAGTGCGTTAGTTGTTATTGATTGAAGCAGTGCATGTAAACTTGTTGACTAAAGGGTTCTAGCTAACCGTGTATAGAACGTCAAGGAAAGGACCATGGGTCAAGAATGTACCTATTGACGAAATACGGGAGCAAGCTAAACCCACAAAAGTACAAAGTATTTTTAATAGAATAGTTAGTAGGCTTTACTATATTTATTATAATGTGTGATGGATGTTGTACCTAATGTTGTTTAAGTTCGCATGTTTGTTGTGATTATTCTTGGCAATTAGGAGGGACGGGATTACAAATTTAACGCAAGGGAAGCCAAATCAAACATATATAATATGAAAATACTTTTCAAGTTTCTATTTTTTTTAATTTTCATTCAATTTATTTTTATTTGGTAAAAAGGAATTTACTTATAATATAGATTATTTGAAAATGTAGTTCTTTACGATAACCATTAATTAAATACGAAAGATTGCATGAAAAGAAATTATAACTTGGGGGAGTTATGGTATCTCCACGGTTCCTCTTCTCCCCTGCCTCTGGCAATTACATGTCGATTAATATTTGAAAAGAAAATATGAACAAATAAGGATTGTAGCTCAATATTTTCATTTTTTGCTCAATCAAATTGCAAAAGATAAAATGTTTCGTATGAGATGATACTTTGCGTATATGGCGCTTGTTCATCTGTTTTGGTCCAGCTGGTAGGGGCTTGGGTTTATCATCAAGAAGGGCAAGCAATTTTAGCTTGAACCGTAAAAGGAGTTTTTTTGATTTTCTACCAACATAACATAGACTGATTCGGGATGTATGGTGAGTTTTGGGTGTGTTACTCCATTTAATATTTCGTGTTAAGCATGTTAGTGCACTGCTCAATATCTAAACAGCCATCTCTTGAATAATAAAAGAGTCTAGAAGGAGGTGTAAAATTTTTTTTTACCTTTATATTCAAAAGAAACCTTTTGTAATAGTTTAAGCATAGGCAAGATAGTTTTGAGTACGGGTGTGCCTAGCTCAGGGTTTTATGCCGACTCGATCTAACATGATTTTTATAGATCAGTTTTTTTGACCCAATCTGCTTTCAATTGATCCAAATCAAGTCTGACTTGGTTTGAATTTCTTTGAACTAGTTCAAAAGTGGATCGGATCTGACCTGACTTGATTTCTAAAGTGGGTCTGAGTTGGTTTCAAAATCGGGTCAAATCCGACCTAATCCATTTTTGACTTGGTTTCAAAACCTATTTTTAATTTGATTCTTTTTTATAGCTATTGATTTAATTTTTAAAATCATGTAGTTTATTTATTTATCCATAAACTCTTTACAAATGTTGCACTGCATATTTGTCTTGTCACATTTAACTCAATCAACTTTGACGAGTTTTTCATATCACGAATTTAGATTTGAATAAGTTCTTATTCTCCTTTCAATCATATGTAGATATGTGGGTTGATTTTCTTCTCAAGGAAACAGATGGATGATTTACATGATAAAAGTGTAAATACTAATTCTGCTTGTCCACCACTTTCAAATCAGATGTTTAGCCCTCTAACAGCAACAATTAATCCACCCACTAATCAAACAGTCCTCTTCCTTGTGGATATTTTCAGCATTCTGAACAAGTTGGTTCTGAATTCTTAACAATTCCTCTTTCACCATCAGATAGCAAAACTGTAAGTTCAAAACTTCTTCCCAAATACTAATATACATTTTTTTATGTAAATTAATCAAAGGTATAAATCATTGTTAGATAATAGATTATAGGTAAGGGTGTGCAAAATAACCAAAAACCTGAACCAAACCATGAAACGAACCGAACCGCCCTTAAAATAACCTGTTTTTAAAAATGAGTTCATGAACCGAACCGGTTTTTAGAACCATTTTAAGAATCGAAACATTTTGAACCGAACCGAACCGAACCGTTTTAAAACCAAACCAAATTTTATAACTTTATTTTTTAAATTTTTAAATTTTTTTCTTTTCATAAGAGGGTTGACCCGAACCGGTTCCCAACCGAACCGAACCACTTTCGAACCGAACCAGTTTTGAACCAAACCATTTAAACCAATTCAGTTCAATTTTTCAAAAAATTTGGTTCGGTTCGACCCATGCACATCCCTAATTATAGTCATCAATTAATTCTTTCACATTAATTAGTGTATTTTATTCACACTAGTGTAACAATTTTTTTTCATTGCCTTGGTCATCTCATGTGGATATCTGATGTGCCTTCAACATATAGATATTTCAGCGTAAAAAGAATAAGGATTTGATTGTAATTCAACGAGAAAAAGTATTATTTTTAATGAATTATTGATAATCCAACTTCAGACACACTTTCACGCTGAATTTAATGTTTTTGCGGGAGGAAAGCTTGCAAATGGTGCAAATCATGTTTATCCATTTTCTCACGCTAATAGCTTGAATTTCATTAGAGTGAAAACTAATCCTCCATGCCAATAGCATGGATTTGAAGCTAGTTGCGTCAAAGAGAGCTGATTCACTGAGTTTTCACGCAAATGGCGTGAAACACACGCTAGTTGCGCAACTAATGGCAAAGAATCCCACGCAGGTCGCGCAATCCCACGCTAATGGCGTGGAAATGAAGCTAACAGCGTCAACAAGTTGGGAACTCCCTGCCAGTTCACGCGATTAGCGTGAAAGTCACGCTACTTGCGTCGGCGATTTGGAACACTTCACACGACAGGCGTGGAATCGGAGCTGATTGCGTCGGGCGTCGATTTTTGAATCTTTAATTCCGTGATTGCAAATTTAAATGAAAACAGAAAGAAAAATCAAATCTCTCTGAAGATTATGACCTGATTGAATTGCCGGTTATAAAAGGGAGTCAGAAATTCAAAAGAGAGAATTTTTTGGGGGGCGCAGAGAAGAACACGAAGGCAGAAGGCGGAGCAAGTTTCTTCTCCAAATTTTCTAGTTATTATTCTTTTATGAATTCTTTTCAATACTTAGAATTGTCAGACATGAATATGTCTGGCTAGTCTTTTATTATTGTGGTAAGGGTCACAACCCTTGATGTGAACTCCTTGTAGTTTGGTTAATTTTATATTTAATTATTTCAATTGCATTTATTTTATCCAGTTCTTCATCTATAATTCTTCTAAAATTGATCACTCTTTTGGGATTGCGAGGGTTAGGGTTTTCAATAAGAATATTGAAATTCTAGTTCCTGACAGAGGGTAAAATAACAATTCATGTATACACTAGGGATAGGGTATATGAATTGGAAACATGGAAAATTCACTGGTTTAAAGGATTAGCTTGAAAAAGGATTTCTAAGGGATTAAGATTTTAATAGGGTTAATAAAGTTAAGATCACTAAGGAATTAAGGCTTAACTAATCAATTGATAGATGGTGAATTGTTTGATCAATGGGTAATTAAATGTAAACATTAATTAATATTACAAGGTGGGGATCAAAAAGGTGTTGACGTCTTTTACCGCAATATTCTTTAAATATTTTCTCAACCTAAATCTTTTATTCTCAAGTTTTCAAAATTATCTTTGAATTGTTCACAAGTCTTGAATAATTCTCAATTTTTACAAAAATAAATATTCTCAAACCAACTTTTATTCATCCAACAAGAAATGAATAGTTAAAATAATTTCAGTGCCTCAATCCTCGTGGAGACGATCTCTACTTACTCTTTATTAGTTGGTACAATCGGTGCACTTGCCGATTTTACGCAACAATATCATTACATAATTTGAAACTTTAGAACATTATAGTGATGTTTATTTCATATAATATTCACTCATCGCGTGTGTTGTGTGTGTATACATAAAATACAGTGTTTTCTAAAAATAAAATACAATTTAAACATGAATTGAGATTGTGATTTTTTGTTTTTGTTTTTGTTTTTCACATAATGGATATGGGTCAAGTTTTGAGTCAATAGGTCAATTATTAAATTAAATCAGGTCTAAACTGACCCAAATGAAAGTGGATCAGTGTTTAAATTCAGTTCAAAAAAATAAGTATTTATGGGTCAGATCAAAGACTGGGCAAGTGAACCAATTTTTTTGCACACCCTTGAGTAAATATCCTCTGAAGATAAGTTGAAGTGTTATACCTCTTAAGAGAAGAATCTCTAACCCACTATTATTGGTGAAGCTTGAGTGCACCTCTAATGTGACTAAGGAAGTTTGGATCATTTGTACTTCTATTATTCATAGTGAAAGATTTTTTGTACTAGGTCCCGGATAGTTTTTCACGTTAAAATTTGTTGTCTTTTTCTCTCCATCTTTTATTTCTGCATTCTTTCTTTGTTTTTGCGCCGTCCTAATAACTTCAGGCCAACCTCCAAGTATTGAGTTGTGAGTTGGACCTGCCGACCTGCGAATTGCTTTCGCGCTCTCCCAACACATTTGACACAAACTGACTCAAGTACAATAACGACGGTATTATGAGCAACAAAGAGATACCATCCAGAGGAAAATATTTTCAGTATTACGGATGTACCGACTCGGTATATTCTTTACTAAATATGGAAAAAAAATAACATTTACACTCTATGTAGCACCGATACTGACACGGGACACGTGACACGATACGACACGACACTTCGACACGTTAATTCTAAAAAATGTTAGATTTCGACACGTTAGGACACGTTTTGATATTAAATAAAAATTTTAATTTACGTAGTGTATATTATATTTAATATCAATAATTTAACAAAAAAATGAAACTAAACTTATAATATTCTCAATTTTGCAAAGAAACATAAGATATCCCAAATATTTATATTAAACTCAATAAAATGGTAATCGTAATCCAACGAATATAATAGTTGGAACTGAAAACTCAACGCAACGCAACCTTTGAACCTTTTTTTGAATTTCTATAACGCGTGTTGAAGTGTCGGGGAGTGTCGGACACGACTCGTCAGAATTTTTGAAGTGTCGGTGCTTCATAGTTTACACTATCCTTATCTTTATAGTTATTTTCTTCCATATATATATTTTTTAATTTTTTATAAAAAAATACCTACTCCCGTTGCTAAAACAAAATCTACTCCAACCAGAGAAATAGGATACACCGGGAGTGTTGATCTTGTTGAACTAACTTTAATTTAATTATTCAAAAAAAAAAACTTTAATGACTTGTTTATGAATTTGATTATGATTAAGAGCATTTCTTGAAAAATGATATCCCCTTTTTTCTTCAAAAGGGCCCGGAGCAGGCACTATACAGCAAAAAGGAAAAAAAATTGCTTGGCTTTTTCCCTCAATATCTTAGGTAGAAAGTTGAAGCAAAAGCCTAATTGACATGGGATCATGGGACCCCTCCACTCATGAGAATAGAAGGCAGATTTTGCCTGATTTGATTTGCCTTTCTGTAACTTATGATATTCTACGCACCATGTTTCCTTTAAGGCCCATTTCTAACAACTTAATGTACTCTTGGATCTGTATTATTATTATTATTATTATTATTATTATTATTATTATGTTTATTATGTTCAGCTGGAAGTGGACCTGTGGAATAAATCAGACACATGAATAAAGCAACATAGTATTAAACAGAATCAGCAAACCTATGTGAAAAGACTGTCGATTGTAACTCATGGTATCACATTAAGTAAACAAAAATAGCTGAACGCTTCAATACTAAAAAAATATTCAATTAGCACAACTTTTTTTACAAAATATATTTATTGTCGGACTCCGGAAATGCGCTCTCTGTATATGCATGCCTGAGGTGGGAGGGTTTCAATTGTGTAGAGAAACTAATGAATGGTCACGGCATGATGCTAACCAGTTTATTAGGGCTCCACATTGAAGCTCCCCAAGAAACCAAGAGAAATTTGGAAGAAAACAAAACACAGAACCAAAAACAATCATAACTTGGCCACGGTCGTCTCGTATGTAATGTCTAATTGCCTTTAACCTCTGCTACGCTGATAACATCAGTTGGACCAACCTTTTTTCTCAAACATTTAGCCAACTTAACAGTATCGACACCATCCCCAATCACCACCACGTTCTCTTTGCCTTCTCCCTCTATGCCCACGAAATTAACGCCTGCATTTACCCATTTGCAAAATTAAAGTTCATTCCTAATTGCTAATTAACTTTTCAATGAGAGACATACATACAATACAAGGTTGCACAAGTGACGTACCATTTGTTCCAGCTACAACCTCAAGTGCTTTCGTCCGGCACTTCTGGCAATGCATGTAGACCTTCATCACAATCTTTTGCTGCAAATACAACAACATGGAAAGGGTTAATTGCTTTATGCTATATATGTAGTCTAGGAAAACAGAGATTGTGCTTGAGAAGCACAAAAGTAATTGCAAGTGATGCATTCAATACCTTCATGTTTTGATGTGTGTATTCTGAAAAGCAGGTTGTCTTAGAACCAAGAATCAATGTAGTGAAGAAAATGCAGATCCGATGGCTTTATATATACATAAGATTAACTTGTAATACAAGCGAAGCGAAGTCAAGTCAAGTCAAGTCAAGCAAAATAAGATGAAATAAATATTTGATGTTTCATAAGAGAAAGGGATGCTTCTCCGTCATAGGGCGAGTGTGAACAAGATACCGAGTTATTGATTTGGGGTGGGCGACCGTGTTGACAAAGCTCCAATGGCTTAATGGCTAACGCGTTCTAGAAAGGAAAATAAAAATCCTTCTTCACAGAAAATCTTAAGTTTAATTTTAAATTTTAATAAAATTAATTTTAAAAGATTAGCGTGAAAAGAATTTATTTTAAAAAAAACTTAAAATTGAAAAAAAAATTGGATACACCACATGTATCTTCCCACGAAAGACAATCTGATTCAGGGTGGATCCAGCTTTAAACCTCTTCCAAAGATGATACTAGGAAAGATCGAACATATACTCTCAACTTCATCTACACAGCTCTCATGTATCAACTGAGCTATCATCATTTGGTATAATTTTAAAATATTTGATATTAAAAAATAATATTTTAAAACTTAGATTGAAAATTTGAAAGGAGAACTTTGGTGCAAAGGTTCTTTGATTATATTTCAGCAATACTAGTTTTTTTTTTAAGTGTAAATAATTGATTTAAGAAAATTTGTTGAAAAAGACTAAAATAATTAATACTAAGAGAATTAATTTGGTCATTTGAAAACAAAGGTTTTTCTAAGGTCTTACATTAAAGAAATATATTTCCTACTTTCCTCTCAATTTGTATTTCCTATCACATTAGGTGTACACAAGAATCTCCTCTAAATCTTTATTTTTTTGCTCTAGTTATAGATGAAGTGATAAAAAATAAGGTTGGTGTTAACAAAAAATAAGAATAGTAGAAAAGCACGTTGAAGTCTAAAGGATTTAGGCTAAGCTAAAACAAAACTAAGTATAGGAAATGTGAGTTTGTTCCAATAAGAAATGGAGATCGTATGTGCATCTGTTTGGACAAGGGGTACTCTAGAAAAATGTTTTTAGATATCTGGGATCAATTTTGTAAAAAAGTGGAGAGATTGATGATAATGTAAATCATAGAATCGAAATAGGGTGGTTGAAATAGCATAGTACATCAGATTTTTGTGTGGCCGCAAAATTTCCCTTTTGTTGAAAGAAAAATTCTAAAGAATAGTTGTAAAGCCTGCAATGTCATATGGAGCTTAATATTGGCCAACACACAGGCAACATGAGCATAAAATGAGAATAGCAAAAATAATGATGTTAAGGTAGATGTATGGTCATACGAGCATGGATACAAAAAATGAAGATATTCGACAAGAGGTAAGAATAATACTGATGGTTGAAAAGAAGAGACAACATAGATGGAAGTAATTTGCACACGTAATGAGAAGATCTCTAGAAGTTCCCGAAAGAAACAAAAATTGTTACCAAGAGTTTGACAAAAAGAGAGGAAGAGATAGATTGAAACTTACTCGAGGAAGGTAGTAAAAAGAGACTTCACACACACACACACACGTATATATATATATATATACATGTATATTATTTTTATCCTTTTTTTTTCCTTAATCTTTTCGTAGTTTTCATTTAGATTCATCTCCTACTAACCCCAACTAGTTTAAAATAAATGTATTGTTAATGTTGGTATTAACAAATATCCTTCTTGTTTATTTTCTTTAAATATTAATAGGGAAATGTGTTTATTCTTTTAAATGACACAACTTATATCATTTTACTCTCACAAAAAGGTGGGACCCACACTTTTATTTTTCTTGTCAACTCTCTATCCTCCTTTATCTATCTCTTTCTCTCTCTTAAAATGACACAACTTTACATCATTTATAATAACACACATTTTTTCCATATTAGTAATACTTCAAGAGGGTAATACTCAAATTCTTAATAACTTATATATTAAAGTTTGTTTTTCTCCTACGTCACCCGACAATAGTTTGAAAAGCTAATGAGAAGAGAGAAGAAAAAAATAACTTTAATATTATAACTATGTATTACTCGTAATACATAGTTAAATTTATGAAGAAAAAAATACAACTTTAATATTATAACTATAAACTACCGCTAGTACATAGTTATAATTCTTTGACTACACAAAACTTTAGATCTAGTGACATGACAAATCATTTTGTCATATATATATATATATATATATATATATATATATATATATATATATGTGTGTGTATGTATATATATATATATATATGTATGTATATAAAACCAATAATGTGGCTCTTATGTAATAATTTAAGTTTTTAGGTAAGATGATTGTATGATATAATATCAGAGTTTGTGATCAAGTGATCACGAGTTTGATACTCTACACCCTTTGTTTTCTAATAAAAATTAATGTTTTAATTCCCAAAAAGGGCCTTTGATGTGGTAGGTCCATGAATATTCATTGTAAATCCTTAAAAAAAATGGGCTCTTGGTTTGATAGTCTTATATATTGTCCACACTTTATGCTCAAAAAACTCTTGTGTAAGGGAATATATTAGTGTTACCTTGAACTCAAGTGACGTGCATATTTTCTCATCTCAATTACATAGGCAAAAAAAATCAAAATATTGTTTTTTAATAAATAATTACGAATAAGTTGTTGTTTTGAATCTATTTACTAATATATTGCATTTATTCACGCTCAAATTGGGCGTGACCATTCACGCCTAAATTAAACATGACTCCCAATGCATTCACACCTAAATTAGGCGTGACTCGTCTGGTGTTGACACGTGGCATAAAAAATTAACAGTTTAATCATAAAACTTCGTAAGGCCATAACTTTTGACTCGTGTATCTGAATCAGGTAACTCTTTTTTTGATTCCACATAACTTTTCAAGATCTATGCAATGACATCTCATTTTATATATTTTATCTCTCACAAACACTGTTCAAATTTGAAATAATGATACTATAAAGATGACACCAAAGTGGATTAGCTTATTTATAAATAAGAATACTTAATGTCATATTAAATATATACTTTTACCAAGTGTTTGAAAAAAATAGTGTACAAGGTTATTGAATCGCAATACGTATCGTGTATCGTTTGGCCAATTTTTCATATCGTGAATCATATCGAATCGTAAGATACAGAAATATAATAAAAAATAATTTAAAAATATATAACTTTTTATGACTTTAATCGAACCGTATCGTAAGTTACATCTTTCTGTTTTATGACTTTTTTCTTTAAATTATGTATGCCTAAGAGAAAGAAAAAATAAATACATTTAAAAGAAAAATTAAAAAGGGACTAATGGGTATACGAAAAGAAAACTAAACCTGAAATCGAATCTTGAACTCTAAAGTTTGGAAATTTATCTGATATAAAGCAATAATTAAGTCTTTATGGTAGGATACGTTGGAAGCTTATAGCCTATGAATGGTTTTTAAAAATAAAATCCTTCTTTTTTAGAGATTTAGAATATTTATTTAATTATTTTCTTTATTAATACAGATTTTCAAATTGATTTTTGAGTTTAAATCACAAATCAAATCTTTATTTTGTTTTCCTTATTAATAATAACTTTTAAATTTTTTAATTTAAATCACAAAACAAATCTTTATTTATTTTTTATATTAAAAAATAAAAAATTGATTTTTTAATTTTAATCACAAATCAAATTCTTTTTCTATTATTTTATATGAAATCACAAACTCAAAACTCGTAGGCTTCTAGGTTTAAACGTTCTTATATAATCATTATTGCAAATTTGAATTGTGTTTGTGAGAGATAAAATATATCAAATAAGTTGTCATTGCTTAGATCTCGAAAAGTTATGTGAAATCAAAAAAATAAATAAATGACTCGGATACCCGAGTCAAAAGTTATAGCTTTCCAAAGTTTTACGGTTCATAAGTTGAATTTTTGTGCCACATGCCAACACCAGACGAGTCATGCCTAAATTAGGCGTGAATGCCTTTGGAGTCACGCTTAACTTAGGCGTGAAGGGTCATGCCTAATTTCGACGTGAATAAGTATAATAGATTCGTAAATAATTTCAAAACAACTATATATTCATAATTATTTATTAAAAAATCATATTTTAATTTTTTTCCCGAGTTACATAACCAATCTAACATGAAAATTTCGCAACCCTACGCTCATTCTCTAATATAGTCATATTCTCCTCTATGTAGGGCGAGTAGGAGTGTTCATCAACCGATCCAAACCGATTCAAACCGCAGTAACTGAACCGAAAAATCGAAAACAAAATTATCGAAAAACTGAAAACCGAAAAAATCGCAAATTTTAATTGGGTTGGATCGGTTTTTGGATTGGTAGATGAAAATCGATCCAATATATTAATTTTCCTCTACCTACTTAGGTCTTTTCCCCATCATAGTCCAAAAATTTCTAAACCCAAGACCCATTAACCCATCAACTAAACTCAAGAAAAAATCTAGTCACGTCTCATCAACAAAATTTTATATATGTAGAGCTTCATATCTTATTGTCCAAAAAAAATCTATATTTTCGTTTACTGATACTTTTGTATTTAAAAAAATAAAATTTCAAAGTCAATATATACAAAAGATGTTATTTGAGCAATAATCAAGAAACAATTTTTAGGATTTTCAAAAAACCGAAAACCAATCCAATCCAAACCGAAAAAAATTGGATTGGATCGGATCAGATTTGAAAAAAAGTCCAAACCGAATGGATGATTATGTGATCAAACCGAAAGGATTGGAACGAATGATTTTTGCTTCCAAAACCGATCCAATCCATACCGCGAACACCCCTAAGGGGGCGTTTGGTTGAGAAGAAATTTTTTGAATACTAAGAAAATGTAATTACTAGGGAAATGGTTAAAAAATGAGTTTGGTAGGAAAATGTAAAAAAAGTTATTTGGTTGACCGAAATATTACCAGGAAAATTTATTTAAATTTGCAAAATCTATGTTTGGGAGAAACTTCGCACTTGTTTTT